CAAAAAATAGGTGTTGTGTACTTCTCTGGACGAGCTCTTCATTCATTAAATTAATTTCCTTTCCACTTTGAGTTTACAATTCGACTTCAATAGTTTGCCAGTAAGTAATCTAGACGCTGACGAGGTCGTGGTTTAAATTTCCAGTATTAGTTCAAAAACTGAGTGTTCAGGTGTATTCTAGAGTTAATACCATTACTCCGGTAGGTACTTCTAGTGCAATGAATCATTTTACGGCACATTGTTGTTATTTTAATATTTTTTATAATTTGGTTGTTTAACCGACTTTTAAAAAAGGAGGCGGTTCTCAATTCGTCTGTATGTTTTTTTTTTGTATATATGTTACGCGATAACTCCGACATTTGTGAACTAATTTTGATGATTCGTTTTTTTGTTGGAAAGAAGGTACCTCAGATGTGGTCCCATTTAAATTTCAAGAAAATATTCTACCTCTAAGGTAGGCAAACTAGGGGATGAATAACTTTTGAGGTCGGATTTTTTTTGAGATTCTGATCATTGCTAAGTTAATTTTTTAACAGGAAAACATTGACTTACAATTACATGGACGTCGGGTCCGCGCTAAAAAGTGTCCGCACTTGTAAGGCGCTAAAATCGTATACAGAGCGCGACACTCCGCTTTAGTCTTCATTTGTTCTACTGACAGCGCGATACTGCGATGACATTACAATTTAAATTTCGAATAGGTTGACTTGGGACATTTTTTTCGTGGTTTTTGTATTAGACCCGTCGTCCATTTATTTGTAAGTCAATGCAGGAAAAGGTCCTTTTTTACGTCAACGATGTTACCTATTCTTTAAAGGTAGCATCTTTAGGTACGTAACTTAGCGTTAGGTACAGTCAATAGCACATCAAGCTACCCATTGACGTATCTTGTTCCGTTGCACTGGAGGCGATTTTCGAACAAAAATACTGTTGTCTGTACATTCTTATTTGAATTTGGAAAATTACAACAACTACACTGGATACGTTTTCTATAAACAAAACATGAAAAGTGGAAATGCGACATAAAAACAACCGCTTTGTTCAGGTTTTGATTAGGTAGGTACGATAATAGGCGCTTGTCACGTTTTTATTTGACTTTGGAAAAATACAACAGCTACATTGGGAACGTTTGGTATGAACAAAATATGAATAATGAAAAGACGTCATAAAAATAACCGCTTTGTTCCAAGTTTCGCATTAAAATAAAAAATATCAATTTATTGTTTTTTTTTTATGGCTGTAACATCTGTTGTAAAGTATATAATTTCACATCGTTGCACCTTCTAAATTTCTGTCCTAGAATTGCCTGAAAGAAATTGCTTCTAACCAAAATGGCTGTTACATATACTGTCTATTTCAAATTCATAGTTCTTCAATTGCCCTAAAAGACACATTTTTAATTTTCAAATGAGAAAAGAGTGTTTTGTGGCAATGGTACAGGCGATAGAGGTCAAGTTTGTGCACCTAAGTCTGCAGCAAAGCTCGTAATTTAAGTGTTCGATCGGGGAAGTATTGCATATACATGTGAGTGTTACTGCGATTCAGTTTTGAAGTGTACGGCATCTTACACATTAAAATACAGGCACATGTTAATTTATGTCTGAGTGTCACGAGCACAGTGGCAGCGTTCCTAAGATTTTGACATTTAAAGCTCTTAGTGGCGCTAAGTGTTATGAGTAAGCTTATTGCTTTCCACCAGTCTCACAACTTATTCGTCGCGTTACTTGAAATCCTATAAAAATTAATATTCCAATGTTTCGGTCTGGTCGCAACAACTTTGGGAACTGGAGAGACGCCATTTTCCGGCGTCGAGAAGTGAGCGTGGTATAAAACTTACAAACGAGGAAATTGGGTAGTGGACTTGGAGTCAACGGCTATGCCTACAGCTCCGGCACCTATCTGCAAAATGGGAGGGTACTGTACGCGTCGCGCGGCGGCTCTCCTAAGGCACTAGCTTTCTGAGAACCGGATGAAGTCCGTGCAAAGGTGCTGATCTGGGATCAGTACCTGACTGAGTAGTTCCCTGTGCAGGCTTGCTTATGCTATACTGCCCTACCCATATAACCAAGAGGGCGATAGAGAAGGTCACTATAAACAAAATTTATGTAGAAAAGATGACGGAGCTGGTCGCAACAACCGTGGTCACAAGCTGATGAATCTTAATCGAGAAACGTCAGAATAATAGGCATGTGTGCAAATACTTGCAAATCGATTTAATCTCCGTTTACAATATTATTATATGTGGGAGTTATACAACACCTATGGTCGCACCAAGAAGACCCAAAGTTTCTAAATTATAATCCTGAACGCTAGTGCGGTACAAACTTGAACGAGTTAAAGTTACTCCAGGCAGTTGAGATAAGGAATATCTAAATTAAGGTAACTATTACCTAGATATACTAGAATTTTAGCTTAAGAACTGCGTATTAAATTATAATATAATAAGTTCTTAAGCTAAAATTCTAGTATACCCAGGTAATACAATTTTATTTATTCTAGTATATAAATTCCGTGTTAAATACCTAGTATTTATTTTGGTATTTAATTGTAATTTATATAAAAGAATAAAAAAAATTGTATTCAACTTGTTACACTGTCATAAATATTTCTGTTCACCTTTGTGTCTAGTCCAACAATAAACCGTGTTATTTTTAAAGTTCTATCGATTTCAATTCTAACTAGAAAATAAGTTTCAATCAGCCCTCTATACTCAACAACGAGTATTGGGTAAATCAATTAATTTATTATACAACATTTTTATCGAAAAAATTAATAGACTGTCTTGGAAACCCAAGGGCCGGCAGCTACCTTGCCCAACGCATTAGCATAGCAATACAAAGGGGGAACGCTGCCAACATCTTGGCAATTTTATTCATAGAAATAAAAATCCTAGTAATCCTTTCTGTAGTTAAGCTTTTATTATCCGTTTTTACCTTACCTATATATTATCCTAATTAAACACCAATCATTAGACAATGTGACATTTTACTGTATTTTATTTGTAATGCCTTTTATTCTTTTTTGTCAATACAAATAGAAAATAATTACAATGAATACAATATACATATAATACATAAATTTGTGACAACATATTATACAATTGATAATAAAATTGTGAAATAAATACATAAAATCGTTATTAATTTTAAAAGAAATAATAAAGATAATCGTGTCATATAAATACATATTCAAATTCAAGGCGTACGTAGGGCTAGCAGAACACGGCGCGACTTGCGCGAGAGAGATATAAAATGCGAGATCTCTATGCGAGAATAGCAGTATCTCGCGGTTTATGTGGCCCTCGCGCATGTCGCGCCTTGTCGTGCTAGCCCTACCTGGCGGGGTAGGAGACAAAAAAAAGGGTAAATCACACTTGTCAGCACACTTCATCACTGCATCTGTGTTAATCGACTGTTTTATATGTAGCTTCATCAGCACGCTCGGTATTGAAGCGTGCTAATAATGAAATGTTCCAAATAGTATTAGGCATGTTAACCACATACCAAAACGTTTTATCGTAATCAAACGACGTTTGTGGTTATTCTTTTTTCAAATTGAACATTCTGGTACATGTGGCCTGTGGTTTATTTGAACACTGTTATCATAATTCAACCTTATTTTAGGGTTTCTGTAAATATGTCCATGAGTGTGTGAGTTTTTTTTATAATGTGACGGGACGAACAAGTCGTGCGCCTGGTAGTAAGCTACCTGTCCATAACAGTTGCAATTTAGAGACATTGCCCCTGCGCCCGTCACCCTGCGACCTAAGTTGACAAGTCTCTTGTGCCTGTAAATCCACCAGCACTTTCCCTTCAAAACCAGAACACAGCAATGCTGACATTACTGTTTGGCGGCAGAAATAGGTTAGGTGGCGGTATTTCCCTGGACGAACTCTTTCACAAGGAGCTCTACTGCTGCTAAATGCTGTGTATAATGAATGTAGACCCACGACCAATAGTGGAGAATGTTCGCTGATGAAAGCCGAGTAAGATCGTACGTCTCATTCGGTTACAAGTATTTCAGATGCGGCACTTAGTGAAAAGAGGGACCGTATAAAACAAACATTTAGTATAAGAGCAGTGTATTGAAGCGTGCTGACAAGTGGAGTCCAACCCTAATACCGTTTTATTATGAATAACAATTATTCGCCGGCAAAGAATACACAGGTTCTATGTATGTATGAGTGCACCAAGTGGCGAGATATCGTTGGGCGAGATGCATCTGTCCCTAACAAACATACCTCGTAATGACCACGACAAGAGTAGATACGACATAGAAAAAGAATTATCAGCAGCCGAAACGGGAAACACTGTTATATATTTAGCATTTAATTTAATTTCTAATTGAGATTTGTAATCTTTTGTTAGCGTATTAAATATAAGAATGTAATATTAAGACGTAATTAAGGAGAACGTGCAGCACCCGGACAAACCAATGTAGGTTTAAGGGTGTGATGTATATATATTTTTGTAATATTCTTAGTGTTTAAAATAAATAAATAAATAAATAAATAAATAATTGAGGTCCAATATACGATGTCAATTATAAGAATTTAAAACATAATTAAGACAATTTATTGTAGTTACTCGTTTGTAAGTAAGGACAATAGTAGGTATTTGTTATTCCAGCATATAAATGCATGTATAATGAATGCATATCTAGAGAGACATGTCAGTTAACAATTATAAATAAATATTATGTACAACGTTTCCCATAGCTTTCTGTATATAACTCCAGTATTACTGTATTAATGATTATTATCATCTCTCATTATACCGAATGAATGTTATTATCAAATACTATGTTCTCGTTTCACCGAAACCTACTTTGCAAAAAATAACAATTTCTAATTTTCTTCGTACACTACATTCGGAATTACAAATTCAAAATGTTTTCCTACTCAAGATGTTTTCAACTGGAGCCTTGACGCAGAACAAGGTCATTGTAAATACAATTAACAAGTCTTATATATGAATTGTATATAAAACAAACTGTATTACCACTCCATTTTGAATCGTCCTTTCCTGGAAACCGTTTGATCTCACACAAGGGAATACACCACACGGTCGGTTCACCACTGCCATATAAAAATTCAAAATTCGAATGTTTGCGTTCGTTGAAACTGACAAGAGACGCTCGCGCGCATGCGCTCTGCACGTAGCACTGAATTACTGACACGGCAGGTAGCAGAGATAGTGATGCGTATATTTGCTATCGATATTGTTATTCAATGTACCTATGTATATGCTTAAGCCCCACTGCTTGTGTGAAGATTTGTTGTTTTATTGTGCATTTCAATGCCAATTGTGGTTTTTATAGGTGTACATTAATATTATTAAACTGTTAATATACACTTTGTTCGATGCTTAAGCTCGTTTAAGTCATAATCAAAATTTTACTCTCAAGTTATTTTTTTTAATTCCATACGGTATTTTGAAGTTATAATAAAGTGAATCTAAGTGAATATCATTACGTCTCTATCTTAGTTGAAGGTTATATCAGATTTTCCTTATCGCTTCGATGACGACGGTCACGTCAACTGTAACTAAGTCACGGAGATGTTAGTTTTTGAACTTCATCTAAGATATCTAGGTAACCTTTACACGCGTCAATTGAAAATTAATAGATTGTAGGTAAGTTTTGTCAGAATTTTTTTCGTTTATTGAATTTGATGCATTTAACAAATTCGATTTGTAAATGAATAACCCTAAGGCGTTGTTAATTAATTTATTATAACAATTAATGAAACCGGAAATCGATTAAATTATCGATAAGTTCGCAGGCCCCTAGATGCGCAAGCGCAACGGTAGACCGCGTCAGTTATGGAAATTAAAAACTGCCAAGTAAAAATAAAAACAGAAGGTAATTATCAATGTGCCCTGACCATCACCGTTGAAGGGGTCGCTTGAGAAATTGGTAAAAAAAATTTTTTTTTAGTTCTGCCTCCGTAAGTTTCTGGGGTTTTTTGACGAAATCTTTTTAAAAGTACCTACAAATAGAGAAGTCATTATATAATTTTATCGACCGACTTTGTTACGTAGTAGTAGTTGGATTGAATTTGTTTTTTTTTATGAAGATCCAAGTTTTTGTGCGGAAGACGATGCAGTCTAGTAACAACTTGTAATTAATTTAACCAGTATTAATTACTTTTGTAGATTGTCTTGTGCTACTACTTGTCGATGTTGACTGTGTGCAGTAAATTAATATAAATAAATAATTATATTTACAAAACAATGCTTATACATACTACTTACATATTCTTTCCCCATCTGGGTAGGCAGATACAAGAGTCTTCCACTTGCTAAGTGCGGTCCTGACACACATCTTTCGCCTCATCAACACGCATCAGTGCTTTCATACATGCTCGTGGGTTAAGTGTTCTCTTGACCTGGTCCTTCTTTACAATGGCCTCAATTTGGTCCTGGTAAGTTCGTCCTACCAACTTGCCCGCTCACGCTCGCCTTATAAATCTGTTTCGTCAATCTTCTTTCATTCATTCTTTTTACATATCCGAACGATCTACCTCTTTCTTTCTCTTTCCACCTCTTTCTCTAACTTTGTCACTACATTTTCTTCCACGCCGCAACGCTCTCTCATGACTATGTTGATATTGTAAAATACTACGAGAGAGAATTCCTTTTTCATTCAATGCATAAATGCTCTTAATAATATATAACTGCCTCCGTGGCCGAACGGTTACCATGCCGGACTGCCACGCAGAGGTCCCAGGTTCGATTCCCGGGTCGAGAGAAATATTTGTATGACCTACATTTATTTCTCTCGTGAGTTTGGGTGTAATTTGTGGTTGTCTATGTGTGTGTCCATGGCACCCGCGACACAGGGTTTCCCTAGTGCGGGGCTATGTTGAGAGTGAGCGTTTTTATTATTATTATTATATGTCGTAGCCAGTCATGTGTACGGACACTAAAGGGAATCCAAGCACGCCACCTAGCGGTGTAATCCACTGTCTTACGTTTCGCCTAGTGTCTAAATTTTTTGTTACAAATAACACAACAACAAGTTGTTATTCATAATGATTTAAACATAGTGTTACTGTTAAACTAAGTCTCATTTCACGAATCCTAAATCTGCCCAAACGATGTCTGAAGATTCGGTCCTAAGCTATGATGAAACCACATATATATTTACATAGAAGCCGTAGGTCGCGTAATGGAATGACCTACCTCTTCTCAAGCAGAGGCTTGGGTTTGAATCCAGGCTAGCTTCTCTGAGTTTTTCGGAATATGAGTTCCGTTCGGAATATTAATGTCGCACATAACTGCGAAATTTAACTTGTAGTATACCATGAGCTTTTCGGCAAAAGAAAACATCGTCATGAAACCTGCACGTCGAAGAAAGTTTGTCAGCCAGAAGAAAGTTTGGGCCAGTGTGGACTACACCCTCGGCTGAGAGGAGACCCGTACCCAGCATTAGGATATATAAATGGGTTGATGAAGTGAAAATATATATCACCTTTTACCTCTTATCTTGATAATTTATCTTTTTAACCGATCGATACCGAAATCGACTGCATTTATGAACCGATTTTGATGATTTTTTTTTTTGTTGGTAAGAGGGTACCTCAATACTAATCCAATTTAAATTTCAAGAAAATATTTCATCTCTAAGGTTGGTAAACTAGGGAATGAATCCGGTTTCGCGCACTTCGATTTCAATAAAACTTAGCAAATAGATGTAATACCATGATCTTTTGAAGTCTTTTTTTTATACAAGAATAGTAATTATTTCTTTTCTTTTCGCTTATACATTTTTTTGTATTTTCGTTAGTAGTTTTTTTTTAATAAATGGACTTGCTCTTGACCATTTTCAGTTGCTCCGGAAAAATAGTTTCATTTCCTAAAGTTCATCATCCTATGTAGAATAAAGTTGCAAAAATTCGCTTCCAATTTTTAAATTGATGCTAAAAGGTAATAATGTCAATATTGCCTCTGTGGCCGAATGGTCACCTTACTGGTCTGCCACGCAGAGGTCCCGTTCTTGACTGAAATAACCTTATAAATAAAACACTTACCTCTTCGACGTAATACAAACAAATCCGTTGTTTTAAACTAAGATAGAACTTCATATTTTAATCAAAGTCTTACTTTCTTTAAATTAAAAAAATAATTGTTTTAATTTAATGGATATGTACTTATATCTAAAATTATAAATAATCTTAATCAATTACGAATCAACACTTTGAGGTACGTTTCTTAAAATGTACAATAATAGATTTTATTAATCAAAAAGACGAAAGAAGTGAGGTAAAGGAACACCAAACTTCATGGTCTGTAGATTGTGTCTACTCTTAAACGTACACAACGCTCTTTGTTTACAGGATTAACACAAAATTACATTAAGTACCTAGATAATGATGTGTCTACTCATAATATTTAGGTCAATACATACACATTTAAAAAAATTCATGAACACATGCAATGTCTAAAAAATAGTATCCTAAGTATAATAAAGCTGTTTTTTTTTTATATATCCCAAGTGACGGGACGAACAAGTCGTGCGCCTGTGGTACGCGATATATGCCTGCCCATAACAGTTGTAATAAAAAGATCTGAGGCGCAGATAAGTCTCATGTACCTGTTATTTCACCAGCACCCTTACGTAATGGTCACATTATTGTCTGGCGGCAGAAATAGATACCGTGACATTAATTCCCTGGACGATCTTTTTCACAAGGAGCTCTATGCAGTGCTGCTGAATAATAATTCATGCAATATGATCATCCGTTAAAAATGCTTTTATCACATGAAAGTCATAAAAAACTACAAAAAGTGATACATGAAAGTAGTTGTGTATGTATATTTGAAATTTTAATTTTAATAATAACATAACGCACACACTCAACATAGCCCCGCACTGGGGAAACCCTGTGTCGCGGGTGCCATGGACACACGCATAGACAACCACCAATTACACCCAAACTCTCGAGAGAACTACCTACATTTAGTTGTGAGAAAGGGTGAGAAATTTTAAGGGTGAGAAATTTTAATACATTTTTTTTCGACGTGGTGATGAAGTTTTATGAGTTTAAATTTATTAGTATGAATAAAATATTAAAACAAATATCGTCTAAACTAATATTTAACAAAATATTTCACTTATTTAGAGTAAGATGACGAAGTTCCAAGAAATTGTAGACGACGACTAAGTTTTTTTGATGTGTGTACGTATGTCGTCATTTTGTCTATGATTTACTGCTTATTGTACTAAAACACCGAAGGACATCTTTTACTTAGTCAAATGAGTGCAGTTTAAACTTGTTTAAAAAGGCATGTACTTATCCGCTATTTAGGTCAGCCATACTATAATTCGTTATCGTTAGAATTACGGAAAAAAATTCAAACTGACGAATCACGTGGCTTTAATATTTTGGAAATTCAAATGCACCAATAACAGATCATTATTTTATTTTTGAAAATCAAACTGGCTAATCAAATTGTGCTATAAACTTACTTTCTTAACGTGAATTGATTTCTCTGAAGATTTCTTCTTATCGTATCAATATACATTATAATGCTTGGCATCGTGGCGAAAGAATTTGCTAATCGGCATAAGGTACTCGCTGATTGATGCCCAGGATGCGGCTGACCTTCTTTCAAAACCAACTCTGTAGGCAGACAGACGAAGTTCAAAATCGACCCTTAAGTGCGAGCATGCCAAAAAAGTTTTGACGTTGGCTCCGCCCAAATTTGTGAAACAAATATATGCCTGAAGTTCGCGTGGCATGCGACAGGAGATGTTGAATTTTGCGCATTAAAAGTACCAAATTCGTTTTAGCGGAAGAACTCTAAAACTAAAGGGATTAAATAAAAATCCGTAGTGACAGTTGTCGATCATGCATAAATATAATTAATTATCTAATTTTTGTCCTAATAACCTGTAGCATTTCGAGGATCAATCGAAAAAATGTGAAAATTAGAGGTCATTTCGTGATTTTTATTTATCGAGGAAACTTTATTGTTTTATGTTTCTGATTAATGTCTATGCTTGAATATATCGTGTAGTTACTCATACAATATTTTATTTTTAACTTTAAAGTGGATATACCCCTCTAAAATCAAATCGAAGATTAAGAATTTTTCCTCTGCTCCCTCTTAACATGTTAGTAAATTGATA